TGACTCTGCCAAAAAAAGTCAAGGGCAGATGCTTTATATTCAGAATTTTCTCTAAACCTCAAGGCCCTTTTTAGTTCTGTGATGGCTAACGAAGATGCCAGGTGGCATTGTCATCTCAGGGTCGATTCTGAATGATTTAATACAGGTGGACAAGCTGGAGCCCCACAGCGACCTACAAAGGCACAGGTGTTCCACTAGCAACACAGGGTCTTCTAGCCGCCACTGTTTGCAAGCCTTTCATAGGTATTAACGTTGGAATTAAAAAGGGAGGGCTGAGCTCGAAATTCAGCCTTGAAATGAAGATTGGTTTGAAATCAAAGAGCTTCTAATGGGCCAAATGGAAGTGACCAGACGTGTGTGTCCTTCAGAGGTGCTGTGTGCTGTCTCCACGTGGAAAATGGATCCTCAGGCTTCCTGGCAGCCCACCTCATGAAAGCTGGCCCTCAGGGGCAGCGACTGCCTCTGTTTTACCAGTAGCGGAGCTCAGGTTTGCATTCTTTGAAGGCGAAGCCCCGAGCAGTAGTGATGCTGCAAAAGTACTCAACTCTTACTTTAGATTTTTGGGCAGAGAGAGAGAGAGAATTACCATTTCTCTGTAAGAGTCTGTGTTTAAGTTGAACTGGAGCCTTAATGTCTGTCTTGGAAGGATCGGACCTTCTGAAATAGGGTTCTATCCAATTCAAACGGGGCATTGTAGAGATTGGCAGCAGGATCCCTCCTGGGGCTTCTGGCTTCGCACACTCAGAACTTGCTACCTGTTCCATGGTGGGATTTTCAGCCAGGAAAGACCTGGACATTGAATGTTGTTCTTGGCTGAGGGTGGGACGAACCCCGTTTTCCAGGAGAAGGTAGGAAAACAAATCAGTCGACTGCAGCATAGAAAAAAAGATGGGGGCACAGGCAGGGGAGCAATGTCGAGATCTGGCTGGGAGGGAATTAGCAAGAAAGGAGAAGAAACTGTAGTAAGAATATGATAAAAATGGCAATTTACATGCATTTTTTTCCAGATTTTTTTTCAATTACAGTTTACATCCAATATTATTTTGTATTGGTAAGACAATCATATACTTTACAAAGTGATCTCCCCCCATGTTTCCAGTACCCACCTGGCACCACACATAGTTATTTTTCCCATTGATTTCAAGAGAAAGCAGGAGAAAGGAGGGAGAGAAGAGGTAGAGGGAGAAGGGGGAAAGGAGGGGAAGAAACATCAATTGGTTGCTTCCCACATGCACCCCTACCGGGGCTGGGGAACCTGCAACCCAGGTACATGCCCCTGACAGGGAATCAAACCCACTACTCGAACCCAAGACCCTTCGGTCCGCTGGCCAACACTCTAACCACGGAGAAAACCCAGCCAGGGTACTTTGTACTTCTTAATCACTTCACCTTTTTCACCCACCCTCTATCCCCCCTACTTTAGTCTTTTCTCTGTATCTATGAGTCTGTTTCCATTTTGTTTGCGCATGCATATTTTAAACCTCCTTCATTTGGGTTAAATCTTACAAGTGAAACAAAATTCTGCCCTTCGATCCTTTTAAAGATGGCAGTGTTGCTTCATGACCACCAGTCCTACCTAGTCTCTGGGCCAGCCCATGGCCCAGTATGTCTAAATCGAGAGACATTATTTATCCATCTGGCCAGCCACAATCCTTAGTATTCACTTTGTAAATTTAGAGTAGAAATTGGAATATGAAAGGAAAGGATTGCATTCTGGGCAAAGGATGGCTTTAAAGACTTGCTTTATGTTGGCTCATCTGCTGGGTCCTGATTGAACCCAAGATATCCCACACCTGGAGGTGTGAATAGGCTCTGACAACAGCGTTGCTCTGCCCATCCAGGAGGTCTTGCAGTGAGGAGCTCCCTACTGTGGCCCTGCCCTGACAAGGAGATGGCACCAGACTTTTGTACAGTATCTCACTTGTGGCCACTTCTGCTGAAGGATGTGATGAACCTAATTACAGTGAGTACATATGTCCAATAATCCTACAATGTGGCGTATGCATTCCTAAAAAAGAATCCCTCTGCGATGGAATTTTGCGCCCCCAAAATAATAGAACGTATGGGAAAATGGAGTTGTGGCAGAAAACTCAAACACTGACCCATCATGTAAGTGATACAAGAAAACTACCACAATTTTAATTTAAGCATCTTAAGTTCCTCATAAAGACACATTCTATTAAATATAGAATGTTATTTTGAGAAGACATGAAGTTTGCCTGGTAGAGGTGTTTATAATTTTTCAAATGAAATGGGGTAGATGGCTGTGACTTCTTGTCCTGTTTCTCCGTTCCTCCGAACTGGCTTAAAACAGAAATCCAACACCCATGGTTGTGTTCTTTGCGCCCCACATACAGAAGCTGTCCTGTGGCCCCAGATGAGATCAGATGGCACAACTGCTCTCATGCTGCGTGAGGCTGCAGTTATCTTCAGCCAACTGCAGAGGAGGCCTTTTCCATTTTCAGTTACCAGGAGAGCGGGCAATTATTGGAAGTTAAGATGAAGCCCTCTGTTGCTTTCGTTCTCAGCGTTGTCTCCTCTGTTCATCATTGTATTACTTTGGGCCAACTGGACATTGCAATGTCACATTTTCTTAGTTCGAAACATTGCAGTACTTGAGGCTCCTTTTGCCTTTGCTACTTCTAATCAGGACACGTCCTCGGGTTTTACTGAGAAACTGCAGCTGGCAGTGCACTTGGCTTGGGTGAAGTGGAGAGATAAGGTGTTTCGCATTATTCTCCCACAGGTCATTATGCTCAGCTGGATGCTTTTCACATCTACCTGGTGTTACCCAATAGCGCAGCACACCGGCTCCTGGTGGAAAATTGTGTATGAGCAAATACCTGTTTGGTTTTAATGACTTAATTCTTTATGTGCACCAATTTTCATATTACAGACATACATAGTAACAGAATATATACATCAGTTTGCTTTTCCTTCCCAAATGATTCTTGAAATGATTAGGGTTTCCTTCTTTTTCTGCAAGAATTTTTATTTTTTAAAGTTCTCTTCTGTTTCATCTCTTCATTTTACTTCAATCCTGTTGGCTCAGGCTGTCTTCCTCCCTCAGGTTGCTGGGTCTCCTTCACCAGAGTTGTGGTTTTATTTGGCTGCTTGTAGATGTGGTCTCTTAGGGCACGTGCAGGTCAGGCTGGTAAACATTCAAGCAATGGCAAATGGGCTGTTGATTTGGTGCTAAAGCCTCTCTGCTCTGGTTCTCTCCAAAAGCAAAATGGAGTTAGTTCCTAACAGCAGGGAGGAGCATTCATTTGCCAACATAGAGCTCCAGTGTAGGTCTCCACTGGTCTGTAGGATCAGCAGTCCCCCCTCCCCGACCCCCAGCAAGCAAGGTTGACGATTGAATATTTAATATTATGATGCTTGGGCTCAATATTTTTATAGAACATTTTATCTCACCTCTTCAAATCCTGCAGTTTTTTTTGGAAACAAGGACTTTCTTCCATGAGCGTTTCTAAACCAGGAACTGTGTATCAGGCAGGATGCTTAGGATGCACGAGACAAAAATTCCTCCTGATTAAAGCTGCTGCCCCAGGAGCTTGGGGCTTGTTTCCTATGGGCGCCCAACTAAGATGACCATGTCAGAGGTCAGGGGTGAAGTAGGGGTGCAACTTTTTGGTCCGACAGTTTTTATTTTTATTATTTCCTTTGTTTTTGGTCCGACAGTTTAAATCTAACTGCCACTTCGCTGTGAATGGCAGCTGTTGACTTGAACCAGATTATGCTTGTGTTATTACAGAATTTGTGATATGTAAATATAAATACACTTTTTCTCATCTATCAATGGCTAAGGCCATGGGCTTTTGAGCCAATCAACTCGGATTTAAATCAGTTCTGTGACCTTGATAAGGAGAGGATAACACTATATACATTATAGGGCTGATGTATGGTGTAAGTGAATTAATTTATGTAAAGCAGTTGTGCCCTGCACACCAGCAGGTGGTTTCTAGCAACACTTCATGTTTAATGCCAGCTACTGAAACATACATCAGAGGCCACACATGATCATATCAGCAACTCTGACACCCAGGTGCACATATTTACAATCTCTCTATAGTTCCTTTCCACTCTGCAGTAGCCTGTACACTCTTTGCTGGGGCATGTGTTGGGGGAAGATGTGTAATTTCTGTTCTCCCGATGCTTAGCACTATGCCTGGCATGTAGCAAGCATTCAATACACTTTGCTGAATGGATGGGAAAGATGGTCTGAAATCCACCCCTTAATTGGCTAGGGCAGTGGTCAGCAAACCGCAGCTCGAGAGCCACATGGGGCTCTTTGGCCCCTTGAGTGTGGCTCTTCCACAAAATACTGGCTCTTCCACAAAATACTGACTTCTGCGCATGGGCCACGAAGTTTCAGTCGCACTGTACGTGTCCGCCCCCACGTGGTATTTTGTGGAAGAGCCACTCAAGGGGCCAAAGAGCCGCATGTGGCTCGAGAGCTGCGGTTTGCCTACCACGGGGCTAGGGCAAGAGAAAGGAAAACAGAAAGAAAAAAACATCATAAAAATGGCCAAATACAGTGGCTTAGCATTTAATTTCTAGAGACCAGATTTTGCTAGATTATTCCAGCAGCTCAATCTAAGTGCCCAGGACAGAAGTGAGTAGGAGCCTATGGAGTTATAGAGACATGGCACAGCGGTCTGCAAACAGCACAGAGCGGGCAGTGAGGTTTCTAGGGAATAGTTAGGCATTACTTTGTTATTTTGGTATCATGGGAACCAAGAGGCTAGATGGGGAAAGGATGGTAGCAGTTTGTAAATACTTCAGGGGAAATCTTACCCTGCTGAAAGGAAGGGTCAATTTAGAAGGACAGGAGGTTAGATAAAGTAGTCATGGAAGGAAAAGTGAAGGCGGCTCTCTTCCCAGTTAGCAGGAAGAGTGGTGGGGAACTTGAGGAAATGTGCATAGATGGGTCCTTATTAGCAACTTTCACTGCAATGCTACCCAGGGCTTGTTTTTTTCATAAATGCAAAATGGAATAGTTAGCCAAGTGAGTTAGCCAACTTTATTCTTATCACCACTGATAACATTCAAATCCAATTTACATGACAGCAGTTCTATAAAATAATGTATTCTATTGCCATTTCCTATAGAAGGAAGATCCCTTCTGACCTTTCTCCACCACCTTTCAGCGCCCATAACAGCTTCCACCCCAATGTAGCAGCGCTTCACTTGGCCCTGCAGGTCAGGAGAAACTCATCAGGAAGAAGTTTCAATCACCTCGTTGTGATTTTCTGCAATTTTCATTTCTCTACAGCCGGTAATCTTCAGGTCTGAAACAAAAAAATCAACATTTATGTCTTCGTGAATCATTATTTCATTTTCACTCGCCTGATGAAGGAAGATTATTTCTCCAATTTCACATGACATTAACTGTTCATCGAGAAACATCTACAGACATTATTTTCTAAGTTTTTGATGAAAAACACTAAAGCCAAATCCTTACCAAGTAGAATGGTTAAGTGCAGATGGTTAATTTGCCACCAGGGGTGGTGGTGGTGCACAATATTATGGCCAAGGGACTAGATACTTACAAAACACTGCATCTCAATAACATGAAACAAATACATCTCAAAAATGCGGAGGCTCAAATTAGAACATGGGAATGATAGAGGCCAACACATTTACATTATCTTGAAAATGGGACATTTCTACAAAAAAATATCTTAAGGAAAAATCTTTTGGGAGATTCTAGTTTTCATTGTAAAATGGTGGGAAATCCATTTGGTTTGTGAATAAAATAAAATATAAAGCTATAAAACACCAAGTTTATGATACAGTTTAATTAGAGACACTTAATATTATTTGCTCCATTAGGATAATTTATTTTCTAAGGGAAAAAAGCATCTGAATTTCCATTGTAAGTCCATAAAATTGGGTATACGTGTAATAAATCTCAAAGTATTTTATTCTTCTCCTTTAGGTCTTATGTCTTCTCTTCTTCTTTTTAAAAAATTTATCTTTATTGCTAAAGTATTACAGATAGGTCTTATGTCTTTTCATTCCTAAATCATTTCTCAGTATCATGCTTACTCCAACAAAATATTTAAGACTAGAATAAAATTTGGATAGCAGAGTAATCTTAACAACAGTAAAAGGTTGGTTTGATTGAGTTTTAAGTCATTTCCATTGTATAGATGAGATTATTTAGAGTTAACCATTCCAGGAAATCCGGTGACATCACATATCCCTTGAACTAAAGGCTGTCCAGGTAACAGTGAGGCAGAGTAATGGTGCCTTTACACTCATTTCTTCTGGCCCTGCACCACCAGCCTGATTAGAAAAAGTTTAACAGTGCATTTATTTTTTAAAAATATATTTTTATTAATTTCAGAGAAGAAGGGAGAGGGAGAGGGAGAGGGAGAGATAGAAACATCAATGATGAGAGAGAATCATTGATTGACTGCCTCTTGCACACTCCCTACTAGGGATCAAGGTGGCAACCCAGGCATGTGCCCTGACCAGAAATGTGACTTCCTGATTCATAGGTCGACACTCAACCACTGAATAACACCAGCCTGGCTTAACAGTGCTTTAAGAAAAAAAATTAAACTCAAAAGACTTAGAAATTTGTTTAAATCGTATTATTGTTCATTCAATTAAAACTAACAGGAATTGTTACATTCAATTATTGCATTGAAGTCTTAAATTCTGTTGGCTAATATAGTAAATGATTTGGTTTTGATCATTTAAAGAGAGATTACTTTTTATTTTAACAACTAGTTCTAATCTGTTCATATCCAAAAGAACAGTTTAGAATGCCTAATTTGAGCAAAATTCAGCACTGGAAATACTGAGGTATATGGTTTGAGCCAATGCTGAGCTGGTTAAAATGAATGGAAAAGTTGGAATGTAACTTTGCTCCCAGGTCCAGCTAATACTGAAGAGCAGCGAATTAAGTTAAATCTTATAGGAAAATGTTACATGACTAGACTAGCATGAAATTATGGAAAATCTTGAAGATGTCTAGATCCTTGCTCCTTGGGTTTTGAAAAGGTAAAAATCCTTCTCCACTGTCTGTAATTAAGTCTCTAATCTGAAGCATATTTTATAAAGGCAGTGGGAAAAATAGGATTTTCTGGATATGAATTTAACAAAAACTAGAAATCTGTAAATGTTTAGGATTAAAGGCTTTTGCATCAGAGGGCACGCACTAGGCTTACATCTCTGCTGTGTCCTAGAGCTATACTGGACAGGACGCTCTCCAGGCTGCCTTTCCAGTGCTAATGTTCTGGCATCTGGAACCCTCTTTTCTTTCCCCAGAGCTGCCTGATTACCTATAAACAACCTAAACATAATCCTACTTTCAGGGAAGAGAATTCTAGGGCCGATCATGGTTGTCCTCATACCTCCTCCCTTTCATCCCTACCACCCTCTCTCTCTTGTGGTCACAATTCTAATAGCACATTCTGTGCGGGGCATTAAACACTATGAACAAGGGTTTTTCATATTAAACATCTATTTTCAAGCATTTATTGATGCTGAAACTTTCCACATTTAATTTCTCTACAAAGGTGAGGATTTTGCTTAAAATAAAACAGTACTGACTTAATGTGTGAGACATAAAAATCCATTTCTTTCTTTTTTTTTTGGTTTGGTTTTATCACTGTGGATAATGTGAAGCAATTCTAGTTGAAAATTTTCATATACCTAGTTTTTCCTAAGAAAGTTCTCTCACAGAATTTTAAAAAAATGAAAACAAAGAGCTTAAAATGATCCAAGTTTTATTTTTAACCTACATAATGAAACATTTCCATTACAGTGCTAGCAGTATGATTTCCATGATTATTGTGGTTTTGTAATGTGTTGGCAAAACTGCAATGATTATGGAAATAATTATCGATAGTAATGAAATAAGCTAACCATTTGAAAGCTATAATCTCAGCAAATTTTGAAAAAAAAGGATAGTGCTGTTGTTGTTTGAGAAATAAATTCTAAGTGAGCACCCTACACACTTACACATGGCAAACACACATCCACTCTGTACCATCAAAAAGCCCAAAATGTAACTTCATAACATATAACATTTATATATATCTATAAGATGTAAAAGTACTAAGCTATCAAGTGTATCCATTAATTTAAGAAGTGAGGTATATAGGCAATACTTCTCATATGAGAAAATGGATTTTAACTATAAAAAAGTATTTATAGTTTTCTCAAAAATTAGTTCTTTCCTCCTTATTTACCATTGTTTTGAAAATGACTAAACAACTACATAAAAAAAATCTCATTGTTTGCTTAAGTTAGGCCTGAGAGAATTTTGTAAGTAATTTAAAATAATTTAAATTAAATTCTAACAATGGTAGCTTTTAATTAAGATTTAAAAAATGTTGTCAATCACCAACTGGGTTCAATGCTTAGTTTGACAATTATTATTGTTGTTCAAAAGCTTTCTGTCTAGGAGAAAAATTAATATTTAACCAAAAGCTAATGATAATTCCAATTACAAAATGTACATTTTTATATTATGAAAATATTTCAAGTTTTATTGCTAGGGAAACAAAAAAACAAAACAAGCTATTTTTGTGTCCACTTATTTATGATGCAATCCAGGTACATCTGTTTGAGTCAAGTCTCTGCAGATTCACCAGCAGATCTATCTTGGATAAATTCCAGTTACTACATTCGAAAAAAAGATTATATTCTTGGCTTAGCTATTTTGGGTGGAACAGAAGCATATTTTAAGCAAGTTCCTTCTCCAAAATGAGGAAAAAATTTTTTTCCTTATGAAAGCAAATGTACCAGTAAGAAGAAATCCCATTTTCAATGGACTGCATTGCATGATACCTCAAATAATTTAATTCTAGTGTACATAATAACATTCAATACTACAACTTTATGACATTGTAAATAACTAAAATGGCATAGTCCATTAAGGTAGTCACTAGCCACATGAGGCTATTAAAATTTAAATTAATTAAAATTATATGTAATTAAATATTCAGCTCCTCAGTCATACTAGCTCAGGGTAAGTACTCAAGAGCTACATGTGGCCAAGAGCTAGTACAGTAGACAGTTCTGATTTGGAGCTTTTTCATGATTGTGGAAAGTTCTGTTAGTCCTGAACTCAAAGATTATCTGTTTCTTAGATAATTTTTGGATAATCCAAAAATGCAAACTTTTTCCTTATTACATACATTCCACAGTAATAAAAACTAACTAGATTTGATGTTAGCTCTAAAGTGCAGAATAAAATATTAACTGATTTATGTTTAGTAACTAGTACACATATAATATATCCTCAAATTTTACTAAGTTATACATACCTAATTATTTTGGTAACACAAGTTAATATATAGGATGGGGCAAAAGTAGGTCTACAGCTGCTCAGATGGAAAATAATGCATCAATTCATAAGTAATAATACAAGAATAAACTCTGTGTTTTGCATACTCACAAACTGTAAGCCTACTTCTGCCCCACCCTGTATGTTGTGTGGTTACTTGTGAGGAAAGATCACAACTTTAATAGCATAAAGGAGAGCCTGGTATCTAGTACATATTCCTGCTACAAGGAAACCTGGAATGAAAAGAAAGGGTGAGGGACTTATTTCATGCAGAAGTAACAGCAGAACAAGGGCAAGGAAAAGTTAAATTGGACAAAAAGACTGCCAGTCTTAAGCAGTCTGCTATTGCTTGAACAGTGCAGTGGAGTGGGGAGAATTTAAGCTGAAAAGATAGGGAAGAGCCAGGTCATGAGAGATGGAAGACCAGGCAAAGAAACCTGGAAGCAATCAGATGAGACAGAGTATGTCAAATCTAAGCAGCTTTCCAGACCTGAGGTATAGGGAACTACAGAAAAGAGGAAGTTTTTTGTTTTTCAATTTGGATTAAGACTATAAGTATCTAGGATTAACGACTTTTCATTACATAATAGTCTCAGCTTAGTGAAGCAATCTGGAAAATGGAAAATCACTTTGTTTTAAGTAATGACAATTCATTTATCATTCTAAGAGACTACAATTAATCCAAATAATGTCACCCCCAAACAAAATATCTGACAATCATAGGCACCTATGAGCACCTTTGCATTTACCTAGCAAGGTCTTAAGACTTAGAAACTATCTACATCTAGAGTTTATTTGCGGGTAGAAGCTGCAAAGGGTATCCAAGAAAGTAAAAAAGAAGGTCACTCTTTCCACCTCAAGAGCCTTATCATTTAAGGAAAGAGGGGATACTAAACTCAGCTTAAAAAAACAAACATTAAAAACAAAGACGGGAAAGAGAAAGACTTACGGAGTCCACAATCGTGGGAAAGCCTCTATTTCTTCTTGTGTGTACTCATCTAGACGTTTGGGTACTTTTCGTGGTTGTGGAAGCTCTTCCACTAAATTCTTAAGAATATCTTCTGGTATATCCTGGATTAAATGAAAATTTAGGCTTAAGTTTTCTTAAAACATATTCTTTAGTAATAAATTAGTAATACTTAGTATTAAATAATAAACAAAAGCAGTATTTATAAAGTGAGAAAAAATAAAATTTGGAAAAATCCCTGAAAAATACATTAGATCAATGAAATTACCATATAGTAGTAATATATTTCATATTTAAATCTTGGCATATTTCTATGATAAATTAGACGTCTTCAATTCTGAAAACTATGAAGTCACTAAGTTCTATTTAAATATACACACATATGTATAGTTTAATGTTTTCCCCTTCTTTCAACTTCAAAAAGGCACTGCCTTGGTTCATTCTCACAATTTTTCGTCTGATAAATGCAAGTACTGGGTCTAGTACTTCCAGTGCTACAAACTTGTAATCCACACTCCAGAAAAAAACATGATGTCAGTTTGTCCCATAATGATGGCAAGTTTGACCTCTTGATTATGGTTGGTGTCTGTCTACCAGATACTTAATATAAAAGTATCTTATCTTTTCTTCTTCAAATAGTATCTTTTCTCTGTGCAATGATGTCTTGAAACTAAATATCCTGTTCTACAATAATATTTTTCCTGATGACTATAGAATATGCTGATAATGGTCACCTTTTAAATTCAGCATCATTCCTACATTTTTTTAGATGACATTCTTCTCTAGAGAAAAGTTTTTTCCTTTTCCAGAAAGGAGAAGACAAATTATAACAAGTTAAAAAAATTTTAGACTGTCATTGTGGGCTCATAGATTTTTGTTTTCTATTCAACATATTTATCACTACTATTCATCTTAAGGCTAATACAGTCATATATGTGGTCAGTAGGCACCAATTCAACCTACCCCTTATGTTTATTTTGGTATTTCTCTATTGGTGTTTGAGCATTGCCTTACCTTCTGCTACTTACTATTTTAGTATTTTGCATGAGTATACTCTGTAATAAGTTTGTGTTTTTTCTCATTCAGAATCAGAATCAACCATTTTCCTAAAGGGAACAAGTTTCCTTTTCAACAGGGGACAGCATTTAGAAAATAAGATCTGGGCATTGCTGTGCTTACTTCTGTTCATACTGGCATTTTATTTTATGAACCAGTGGCCTGGTACACGGATTCATGCACAATGAAAGGAAATTAATTAGAAGAAATATTTTAATATAGCTATTTGCCCTTTATAATAGATTTGCCCTTTAAAATAGAAGTGTCAACCAAATTTATGATTGACAATGACAGATCAAAACACACGTGTGAGACTGGCACCAGCAAGAGCTTTTTATGTATCGTGCAGGCGCAAATCAACTTAGCCTTTTATAGATATAGAATAAACTTGTTTAATTAGACAAGTTATATAAACTTGTTTAATTATACCTTTCTGATTTAGCTATACTTTTTCCAGCCCACGAAGCACCCCAACTTCTCTTTCAGGTAATTGTCAGCAACACAGCAGTAAATATCAACACAAAGCAGATTATTATTGTAGATCAGGCAGGGAGAACAAAGGGTAAAATATTTAACTGCAGCAGTGTTTGACTATATTCTGTGCAGTGAGAAAACCTGAAGTCATTTTCAAGGTCCACCATTTCTTACTTCTTTTCAGTCGGGTCAAGTTTCTAAGCTTTCTAAATCTCCGTTTTCTGGCTAATGAAAAGAAAATAGGATTCTACCGAGTCCCTATCTACCTACTCCAGGACTTCTGTGAGGATCAAATGAGATGAGGCATGGGAAAACACTTCACAGACATTTGGTTAAACTGTAAAATGTTTGGACCTGGCTATAAAGCAAGTTGTGTTCCTGGGCTGAAGAAACTGCAAAGAGGCTAGTCACTAGGGAGGAAGTCGGGCGTTGCTACGTGACGTCGTTACCTGGTGCCCACAGTGATTGTTTCTGGGCTGTGCTGGGCTGTGGGCCGCATTTTGTGCCATGGGGTCTCGACAGTGTTGGCTGTGATTTGGTGGGGTGTTGCTCCAGGGTGGTGGTGGGGCCTATGTCCCACTTGGGGGAAGCTGAGTGTTGCTTTGTCAGCACCAGGTCTGTGGTGCTATTCCTTTGTAAAGTGTGTGTCACGGCAGCTCCTGCTTTGAGCGTCTTCCCCCTGGTGGTAGTGCGTGTCATAGCAACCGATCAGACGGTTGGAGGGGCACTTAGCATATTAGTCTTTTATATATATAGATATATAAAATTTTTAAAAAGTTAAAGTAAAAAAATAATCTAAAAGGTATTCTCCTCCCCAATTCTCATTTCCTTCCCTATTCCTTTCATCTCTTTGTGCCCATATGCCAGTAAATAGCCAACTTCATTTTCTCATTTATTCTTCCTGTATTTCTTTATGCAAAAAGCAGATATAGTAGATATGTGTGTAAACATTCATATGAATATATGCATGCAAAAGGTGGTAAGTTATCTACATTGTCACCTTGCTTATTTTCACTAATATATCCTGGAAAAAACATTAATTATCAAGTCACAACAATGTTTGTCCTTCTATTTTTACAATAGTACTCAACTGAGTGGATATCAAAGTTTATTCAATTTTCTATGAGTAAGCATTTATTTCTATTATTTTACTATAATAAATCATGTAAAAATAGTAACCTTGTATATTTTCAGACTGAAAATGAGATTGCTGGATTGAGCAGGAATCTCTTTATGTATTTTGTGAAATGCTTCATAGTTGCCAGATTCCTTGAGGGTTTGCACCATTTTATACTTCCATCAGCAATGCATGAATGCCTTGACAAGAACAAGTGTTGTCAAGCTTTTGAATATTTAACAATCCATTCTTGGGAAAATGGGCTCATTTATTTTATAGTCTGAAATTATTTAAGTAATTTACTGTTCAACTGAACTACCATGAATACTTAAAACATCTCCACTCAAACCTGGCTACCTTAAAACTGGGATAAATAATATTACTTCTGTGTCTTTTAGAAATTATAGTTTATTTAAAAAAATGCGACAGTATCATCATAAAGAGAAGTTATTAAATTCTTGTGATTTCATAAAGGCCATTTATATTTTGGTGAAGGACCACAATTATTTTAAAAGAAGAGAAAGTATTTAATTGAGGATAAGTGTCATTACCAATGACCACTGACTTACCTCATCTGGGAAAAGATGCAGCCTCTCCATCATGGTCCTCCTGTGCAGGTTTTTTGGGAGCATGCCATAAATAGCTAGTTTTACAATCTGGAAAAACACATAGTTAGGAGTCAGTAACATACAAATATGACTTGTGATATCAAGAAGGCAGATTTAATTAGACAGTGATGGAAACCAGTGGGCTAAGACAATAGGTATATGAAAGGAAACAAACCGAGACCAGAGTCATTATGTGGCAGCAATAGAAAAGGAACTTTTACTATTTACACATTACTATTTCTTTAGGCTCTATATTTGTTTAATTTATTTTTTAATTAGCAGAAAGGACAAAAGGAAGAGATTAAAAATATCCTGTGTGCCAATTTTAGCTAGACTAAGAAGTTCTCTAAGCTCTTACAAACACCTATGGCTCAAATATTTATTGTGTAGTGACTAGAGCAGGAGGTTCCCACCTCAAACACTAAGCCTGACCATACAGACAGTTATGACACTGACTTGAGAGGCCGCAAATCTGCAATAGTGGTAATGGCTAACATTCATGGAACTTGCTCTGTATATAGTGGTCAGTGCATTCATTACATCTGATCTTGTTTACAATGCTGAGCCTCACTTCACAGAGGAGGAAACAGATGTAGTGAGATTACAGAATTCCCCTGATATAATCTATATCATAAAAGGCCTGTGGTAGTCATGACCAAATGAGCAGTGGCTCGGGTGGGGCGGGGCACCGGCAGTGTCCGCAGACCATGCAAGGCATTGCAGGGTGTGGATATGGCCCTGATGGCAGGCTAGGCTAGGGGACCCTACATGTGCACGATTTAATTGTGCGCTGGGCCTCTAGTGTATCTATAAGTGTCCATGCTCGAATTCAAACCAGGCAGTCGAACACCCAGAACAGACACACAGTACAGGAAATCACATCTTCATGTGTTTCTCTCCATAACTTACCAGGGAGACAAAAAGTCTCTTTTCTCTACCAAACCCATTACCAATATGGCAAACTAACCTTTCCATGATTTACTTTTCCCCTTTGATGGTTATCCTCACTGTTGGTTTGAGAGTGATTTCATGTATGTTTTGTCAAGAGAAGGCCACACAGTGTCACCCTGTGTTCCATACACTCCCGGGGGCCTCCTGGCATACAGTGTATAGTAATATAAGGTGAGTTCTTCACAAAACTGCTGATGGAGACACTTGGAGTGTTGTATAGATTTTCCTCACCTGTACTCACATTTCAAGGATATAATTTCACATGCATTAAAGCTAAATGCCTTAAAACAATTCATGTTAGAACAGGGTTTCACTACAAGAGGATTTTCTGTTCCTTCTATTTTCTCATCAAAACCTTTCTACACATAAAAGCTAATGACATCTCATAAATATACTCCATTTATTTTCTAGCTTAGTTCTGTTAGTACTTTATGTTCTGGAGACTTTATTTAAATATTAACATATTGTTAAAATTAAGTCATAGAAAATCCAGTTCCTCAGCCACACAGCCACTTTCTAAGTGGTCAGGTGCCACCTGTGGCTAAGGGTGACCACGTTTGACAGTGCAGACACAGAACTTTCCGTCAAGGTAGAGAGAGAGTTTTACTGGACAGCACTGATCTAGAAACTAGCCTTTAAAATGTTTAATGTTTTAAAAAGTCTTCTGTAGAAACTGACAATGTTAGAATTATTCAGCAACTTTTCTAGATAAGCAAGCCAGCAAGTCATTACATACTCAGAAAATCATCCCTTTAGCAATTTTACTCTATTAGTAGGATTACATGGCATTTGGCTTCCATGTTCTTAAACAATTTAGTTGTACTTACTTGAATTAACAAGTTGGTATTTTAAAAATTTACTCTATTAAAAATGCAAACATAACAGTCTACTTAAGAAAAAGTGAGAAGATGTGAAAAGGTTATAAGCTGAGAGGAGAAAAAGACAAATACACAAACATAAATATCCCCCAAATAAATATGACACAACATGCACATACAATCAAGTAATTCTAGCTATATAGACTTAAGCAAATGCTTTAAGGAATTCAGAAAGTGAAAAAGATAAAACAAGGTGAGTTTAAAAACATCACTTTTCTCAGATAACTGGTAACCCAGGGCATGGGCCATTTAATGCACACAAGAGAACTTTATTAACTAGTTATAGGAGGTGGAGAAACAGAAGAAAGGAACCATGTTAGAAGAAAACTGTAAGTACACAAAAGCTCTTAAAGAAACTAAAATATATGACAGAAGGATAAAGGACAGAAGGAAAGGGCTGAATCAATATATTTATTTGAGTTTGGAATGATCTAAGTGATTTAAAGTGCTTTGAAATATTTAATAACCTAGTAATAACTACTAAATGTATTAATTATGTATTTTATAAATACTATTCCATGAATACCAGAAGAATGCACTATGAAACACATTCTCTTACAAGTCACATACACTAAGTACTGACTCGCAAATTGTCTGCTGGGAGAAACTCATTGCTCCAGACAGACAGGTAGTGGAAGTAAAATCATTGACCTCTTCCTTAATATGCCAACACAGAGTCAAAATTAGGACTTAAAAAAAAATTAAGATCTTTTAACGAGGTGATAATTCAAATGGATTTAACTCTGAAATAGTTTCCAAGCCTCCATCCAACATTTTGTAATACATTTCATTCTTTGTTTATATAAAAAAAATGAAATTACTATGTTACCCAATGCCAAATTCTTAACATCAAAAAGTTGAATTATACTGCCTCCTAGTGTTCAGTGAGGATACCTGATTAACATATAAACTTTAATATTAAAACTATAATTTGTGTAACAGTTATGGTGTACTATCAAAGTTTAAAAAAGAAACAAATAGTAAAGTTTCCTTAAGAAGGAAATTAAACCCAGAAGGAAGGCTGAGTTATGTGAAGGGATTGTAAGCAAAGAAAATCATAAAAAAAAATAACTGTATAAAATAATAACAAGAATGTTGAATTGAAGGGATTTAAAAAAATCTTGACTTTGTGTGGTTGGCACACAATGCAATGTACAAATCTTGTATTGTAGAAATGTACACTTGAAACTTTTATGATTGTATTAACCAATGTCACCCTAATAAATTTAATTTAAAAATATCTTAAGGATAGGGAAAACATATTGATTGTGAGGGAAAGTGGGTATTAAAAACCTTCTAAGGTCTCCTTGATTTGATTTGAAGGAAAGTAAATATATTGATTAATCTTAGACTTCTAATAAACTCTACCAATCCAAAAGAAGGTGAGAAAGTGAGGAAAAAATAAAATACAGCGCAGTAAAATTGAAAGTAAAACTATAAAATGTTATATTAGGCTAATACTATCAAATGAAGGTTTATAGAGCTACATTAATATTTTAAAAAGTAGACAGGTTAAAAAGCATTATTGGAGATAAAGAGGTGCATACACCCTCATCAATTATTTAGGAAGATTATAATTCCAAACTTAAATTTTTCTACTGCTAAATCTTCAAAATATGCAAAGCAAAAACTGACAGAACTACAAGAAAAAAATTAACAAATCTACAATTAAAATTTTAATATAGCGCTTTCAGATAATCAATAAATCAAGTGAACAAAAAATGTCAGTAAGAATATAAGATTAGAATATAGTTGACGTATTTGCTGTAATGGATAAACATGTAGTATATATATCTTTCTCCCCAAGACATTTTCAGCAAACATATATTTTAGGTGATCCAGCAGGTGTCAAGAAATTTTTTAAAAAGCATCACAATTCTTTGACTAAATGCAAAACATACAAAATAGTAATGTTAAAATATATAGAACTGGATAATAACACTTATCAAAGCTTGTGTGGTAGAGTTAATATGAAGAATTTATAGTCTTGAATGCTAGCTACATTAGAAGAGGAAAAAGATTGAAAAAGCAATGTCTGCTTTTTCCATGGGTGGATGGGGGGGAATCCAACAGACTTACTGCCACTGGATCCTTTCGGTGAAGTTGTGCAGCTGTTACTTGTGTGAATCCACCTGGGTAGCTATTAAAAGAAGCAAAAAGAAGCAAAGACATTAAAGCTGGGAGTAGGCTATGGTATAGTATTCTTGAATATTCTTTTATAATATAAAACTATTTTTATTATGAAATTATACTTGCTTCTGGAAACTATGCTATTCATTAATGTCTTAAAAATTAAGTAGTAGTCTATGCTATATGAAATACTATTATTTTATGTGGGAAACCATCATTATTTCACAAAAAGTTCCACATCTTGGAAAATTTCTTGGCATAACTACTTATATTTTTATTGGAATTTAGTTATTCATCATTCACTCATTCGCTCATTCACTCATTCATTTATCCTGGGGTAGTTTATCACTGTTTGAATTAAGAAAGAAAAAGCAATGGTAAAAATTCCCTGCCAAATTAGACTAAACGTCTGCATAAGCTAGTGGTCAAGTTTGGGGAAAACAATGGTAGACCATCTGGTTCTGAAATAAAGTTCAAACTCTAAAGAGGCCATGATTCTATTTCCTATTAACTAAGAGTTATATGTTGCCCCTAAGTAATAAAATATTTCATTGTGTTCAGATAAAAAAAATATATAAAATGTGTAAATTGGAAATTAAAAATGTGTTTATTTGGGATAATATTAGAGGTAGCTCAGTCACTTGAATACCACAGATTAAAGTCTGGAATCTAGATTTCCTACTGGCTACCAGTCTAATATTAGGTAACTCATTTTACCTCTCTCTCTCTCTCTCTCTCTCTAGATTTCCTACTGGCTACCAGTCTAATATTAGGTAACTCATTTTACCTCTCTCTCTCTCTCTCTCTTTTTTTTTACACATTTTATTGATTTTCTACAGAGAGGAAGGGAGAGGGATAGAGAGTTAGAAACATCGATGAGAGAGAAGCATCGATCAGCTGCCTCCTGCACACCCCCAACTGGGGATGTGCCCGCAACCAAGGTACATGCCCTTGACCGGAATCGAACCTGGGACTCTTCAGTTCCCAGGCCGACGCTCCATCCAGTGAGCCAAACGGGCCAGGGCTAGACTTCTATTTTTGTATTCTTTCTCTCCATAGGAAAAAAGTACTTTACACCTTCTACACTCAAGATTATCTATTTTTAAAACTAGGATGGCAACTTCTAAACCATAATCCCATTTACATTATATTTCAGAAGTTTGGACTTTATACTGAAATTCCGAGGAGGGGAACAACTTGAGTAATGCAATACTCAGTTGGCTTGTTTTCCAGCTCTTTATAAAAGTCAAAATTTTAATTTCAAAAACAGCAATGATTAAGTAGGGTAAATTATATTGTGCACTACTACACAGTGACCTAAAATAACATTTAAATTAAGTAAAAAAAGATATAAACATATATATTAAAATATTTAGTTAATGGATGAAGATGATTTTTAGTTCCTTCTCTAAACTCTGTATTTTCTAACATTAGCAGGCATTAAAACTTTTACAACTAGAAAGATAAATGCTGAATACATAATTGCAATAAAATATTAGGAGCATAATAAAAATACTGTGTCCAAAGTGTAAGTCAAGAGTCAACAGAAACAGAGAAACAAAAAGCAATGATTCTATCTAGAAGAGTGACCACGATACAGTGGGGATACTTGAAGTGAAGCCATATAAAGCACCGGAAGGAACCACAGATGTTTAAAGCCCAAGGAAAAGATAAACCAGTGGGCACCTGCTGATGATGGTCGCAAAATTATCTGAAGAATGTTATGTGGAAGAGATACAATTATTTCACTTTGTCTCAAAGAGAAGAAATAAAACCAATGTGAAAGCAGGAGAAAAACAGATTATGACTCAATAGCATAAAGATCTTACTGAAATTTAGAGCACTTCAAAGGTGGAATGAATGGGCTGTCTTATGAGCTATGAGATTGGTATTATTCAAACGTAGGCAGAGACACCTATAACTCCAAAGGGATGTTGTGGAGATTTTAGGTATCTTCCAAACTTGGGATTTTGCTCGCCACTAAAACATCTCAAGTACTTTCAGATGTTCAGGATGGTTCTGGAAATAGCAGATGAATTATAGGAAGCAGAAAGAAAGAATGAGAATATTGGCTAAAAAATGAGAATAATCTTGATTGGAAAAGTTCATGTGAAAAGTTTCAAGGAAAAACAAATTCTGTTAGTAATAACTGTGATTTGGTCCAGGTTTGTGTTTTTTTGACTGAGTAAATTATACATTACCATGAGTAAAATTAGTATTTTTTTAAATGCCAAATTTTGAAAAGACATTTTTCTTTTAAATAAGATCAATGGTGTTATTAAAGTAATACATTTCAACCGCCTATCTTCTGTGACAATGGCATCGTCTTACCCAGTATGTGAGGAGTATACTTTTTGTTCCCATTTGTTTCCAGAAAATGCTATGTGCCTTGTGTTCATTATGACAACATGATCACCACAGTCACCTAGATTTAAAAAGAAAAAAGATAAAATTTTATATGAAAAATCTTTAAGTAAAAGTGACCTTATTTATAAAGCTTACCAAAGTCTAAACAACACATTAAAAATATAAAGGAAGTCACAGTACAACATCAACATCCTTGAATGGATTTCTGTTACTGCTTTATATAACATCTAAGTATAGAAAGAGTTGGCTAGCCATTTGGAAAATCTCAACACTGGAAGGTGAAAGAGGATTTAATAAAGATGCCAATATAAACAATACATCTTTAAAGGCAAATTATTGTTATTTCTATTATGTCTTTCTATTAATAATTTCACTTCACTAAAAATGTATTTATATTAAATGCTTTTAAATGTCTAGTATAAATTTTTCCTTAAAAACAGAAGAGAAAATGAAAACAATATGCATGTAGTTATAAAAAGCATATGTTTTGCCAATAGGTAAATTGAAAACAAATGTAAAACATCACAATTTATTATTCTTCTCAAACGTAGAGAAAAGAGTACTATGATCTTATGCTTAACTCCTAACCCAATGTTTTTCTCAACCATATTTAACTTGTTAAATTTAAACAGTCACTCTCAACTCTGCATTCATATTAGACAGGTGGGATGACCTGAAAATTAAAATATATGTATCAGACTAATTTTCCAGTGAAAAGTACCCCTAAGTTCGGCTGTTCATCTAAAAAAAAAACACCCAAAAAACAAAAAACCCCACAAATGTTAACATGTAAGTTTTCACGAGTTACTATATGGGACAAGATCAAGTAATCGGAAACATTTATTAAATGCTTATTCTACTAATAGAAAAAATAAACTTCAAAAGATTCTAGAAGCTTATTCATTTAAGAAAACACCACTGAAAAAATAAAAAGTATAAATAAGCATTGTATATGAAAACTAAAGACTGCAGTATGTGATTCTATACAGAACTTAGACTTTGAGATAATTTTCTGAGAGAAGTTCATAGTCTATACAGGACAAGGGTAAAGGAAAGAGGATAAAGGTGAGCTTTCTTCACTAGACTGAAAGGGAATCCAGAGGTGTGAAGGGAAACCTGGGAAGCTTGCTGTTAGTGTGTCGAAAAGGATAGTTTGATAGTATTTGGTGAATTAAGTGACTAACGTTACTAAAAGTGACGCATGGTAGGTTACTAAGGCAGTAGGGGTCAAATGAACCAAAATAACAAAGAGGTTGACGAGATATCTATATAGTTTCAAAGAATGTTGAAATACCTTAGCCTTCAGCCAGACATTTACAGTTGAAGAAGCTAAGGCCCATTAAGATTCAGTGATTTGCCAAAAGCTCACACACCAGATTACTTAAACCCTGTTCAGGATCTTTCCATGACACCTATTTAGAGGGAAAATGGAATCTTTAACTTTCCATTGAAGCTGAATTTATTTGCAAAATTAGATGGCAGAATTAAAATAATACAATAAGTAACATTTAAAAAAGATTGACACTTAACTGAATAGCAAGAGAAAAATGGGCAAACTGAGTTACTTTAAGAGCATGATAATTTTTTTTCCCCTAAAAAGTCCTTAAAATATTTAAAGAAATAGACAAGAGAACCAGAGACACCGAAGCATGCACAGACTGATGTATTTCAGACAGAAAATTGAATGTCACTTTTCAAATAAACATTTTGCAGTGATTATGAGCAAATAATGCATGTTTAATAAATACTGGTTCGGCCAATAAATGTTAGAAATAAACTAAATACACAACATATTTATAAATTGAAAACTGTTTTCTTTAAGTTTTGATTTTAGTGACATCTTGTGGACAGGGCAAGTTTTGCTGATGTAAGTTATATATTAAATTTAGTGTGAAACAAAACTACAATTCAACCTTTAAAAATGTAAATTTCTAATTTCATAAAAAAGTGATTCTCCTAGAAAGGGATGGCCTGACAGGCAACCAGGAAAGTTCTGGTGTTCCAGCAGAATGATTACTCATCAGTGTCTAAGGAACACTTCTGTAATAATGGCCTGCTTTTCAGGAAGCAGAACCTCCATTTAGTGACAGGTAAGTGCTATACCTAAAAAAGGAAATTAGGTCTCTACTGCTAACTCCACTTTCCCCCAAATTTTGCATCATTTGCGTTTCTACAAAGACAACCTAAGAGATCTTGTTTATCACTTTATTGATATCACTGTAAAGGAGTCAGAGATAAAGCAAAGACTCCTAACTTGAACAACTAAAAAAGAAGAGATGCTATTAATTGAGATGGGAAAAAATGGAAGAAACAGGTTGGTCGGATGGAGAAAATCATGAAGTAAAACATCTTCAAATGAACTTATTCTATTGCAGATGTCTGTTAGACACCCAAGATTTTTCTGAGTAGAAATCTGGCTATGTGAGTCTGCAATATAGGAAAAGGGTCAAAACTGGAGACATAAATTTGGGAGCCATGAGCATAGAGATTATACAGGGTGGGTCAAAAGTAGGTTTACAGTATGAAAATAATACAATAATTAATAAATAATAATACAAGAATAAACAGGGTTTCATGTATTCACAACTGTAAACCTACTTTTGCCCCACCCTGTATTTAGAGGCATGAGGCTTGAATGCGATCACATAGAGAATGTGAAGAGGTCCAAGGACTGGGCTCTGGGACACACCCAATTTTTAGTGGGAGAAAAATGACTGGGAGTTCAGAAAGTTGAAGAGAGCAAAAGGGAACTGGGAAAATGGAATCAATAAGGGGTGAAGAAAGAGGAAGAATGGAATCCCAGAAAAACAGTGAAAAATGTGTTTTTAAAAAGTTCTCTCCATGAAAATTAGCCTGGACTCCTTACAAGATTAATTGTAAGAAACAAATAAGAGAAGGATTATACTAGATTAAAAGACACTAAAACAAAACATAACTAAAGGCAATACATAACCCTAGTTGGACCATAGTTCAAAAAAGTAATAGTTAAAAAAATATTCTTGGGACTACTAGGGAACTTTGAAACTGCACTGGATATTAAACTGCATAATTAACTTATTTATTTGCTTATAACAGCACTTGGTTACACAGGAAAATATATTTTCACTTAGGGACATATGCTAGAGTATGTAGGGAAGATAATAATAACATCTTCAACTTGTTTTCAAATGACTGAGTAAAACATATATGATAAAATGTTTAGAACTATGGAATCCAAGTTAAGGGCATAAAAAAATTCACTGTACAATATTGAACATTTCTGAAAAAGCTAGAACTTTCATAATAAAAATTAGAAAAAAGTAAAGAATAAACAATCCAGTTTAAAAAAAAGAGCAAAAGACATGCACAGATATTTCACAGAGGAGGAACTGATAAAAGGCTAATAAACAAATGAAGAGATAGCTGCATTTGTAATCAGGGAAATGTAAATTAAAACCATTAAGAGAGAGCATTTCACATCTAGTGTTCAAAATTATAAAGAATGAAAATATTCAGTGTTACTAAAGATGAGGAGTAACAGAAACTTACATGCTGTTGGCAGGAGAAGACATTGGCATAAAGACTAGCTAGCTTCCAGGCAGCTTTGAACCCAGAAATTCCTGTTTTACTGAGATGTCAGATAAACGCTTCCATGTGAGCACCAGGAAAAAGGTACAAGAATATTGAAAGCAATGTTGTTTGTAATTGCAAAAATAAGTTGGAAACTGAGTGCATGGGTATTGAGTTCATTATCATCATTAATTTTTTTTAAAATAATACCTATATTTATATAGATAGATACATCTCTTTCTATCTCTTTGTATACATATTTCATGATACAAAATAAAAAGGTAATTAAAACTGTGATCAACCACAAATGTTGTTGACAGGTCAAGCAAGATGAGGAATGACACCTGGATCCAGCAGGTTGAACAGTGATGAGCCTAGGTCAGTGATGGCGAACCTTTTGAGCTCGGCGTGTCAGCATTTTGAAAAACCCTAACTTAACTCTGGTGCCGTGTCACATATAGAAATTTTTTGATATTTGCAACCATAGTGAAACAAAGACTTATATTTTTGATATTTATTTTATATATTTAAATGCCATTTAACAAAGAAAAATCAACCAAAAAAATGAGTTCATGTGTCACCTCTGACACGTGTGTCATAGGTTCGCCATCACTGGCCTAGGTTAAGTGAAGTCAATCAAAATTATCTACACTAATAAAAGAGAAACATGCAAATTGGTGTCACTCCACTATGCCCACCAGCCAATCAGAGTGACTATGCAAATTAACCCAACAAAGATGGCAGTTAATTTGCATACGCAGGCACGTAGCGAAGACTGAAGACTGAAGACTGAAGAGGACTGAAGACTGAAGACTGAAGAGGCTTGGCTTCTCCACTGCGGCCAGACCAAAGGCCTGGGTCCTGGGTGCCGGAGGAAAACCGGTGCCAGCAGCCAGGGGAAGGAAGGCCTATTGCGCAAATCTTCGTGCAACGGGCTACTAGTCTATGTATATATGATCTCTATATATAAAAGGCTAATATGCAAAGTGTCCCCTCAGGAGTTTGACTGCGAGACCAGGAGTTCGATCACTTGTTATGACATGCGCTGATGACCAGGGAGCAGCTCGGAACATGGCGGGGCGCTGAGGCAGTGAGGGAAGGAGGAGGCGGGGAACCTGATTGGCCCTGATCGCCGGCCGAGACCTAGGGACACTACCTGTGCACAAATTTCGTGCATCAGGCTGCTAGTCTATAATAAGCAGAAGTCTTTTAGTATGAAAACAAATTGTTTTGTTTTGGAAAAAGGATACAGAAAAGCAAATTTATTAACTTAACACTTGGAGTGCGGGTGAATTTCCCGCCAAAATATAAGATGGCTCTGTCTTTTGGTTTTGTTCCATCCACCAAAAGGGTGGATTACAAACAAATATTTGGTAATACGCAGTTACAATCGGCCCAAGTTTACACGTTTCCCGCACTCCACCGCAAATCTATATGAACCGAGTTAACACTTGGAGTGCGGGTGAATTTCCCGCCAAAATATAAGATGGCTCTGTCTTTTGGTTTTGTTCCATCCACCAAAAGGGTGGATTACAAACAAATATTTGGTAATACGCAGTTACAATCGGCCCGAGTTTACACGTTTCCCGCACTCCACCGCAAATCTATATGAACCGAGTTAAAGACGGCTCCCGCGGAGTACGCGCAATTCACGCGAGCCGACTTAACTCGTTTCCCGCACTCCAAGTGTTAAAAAAGCAAAAAGTAAACTTTCCATGCCTAGCTAGTTCTACATACCTTTCTGGAGGAAAAGGTTTTTAGAAGAGAGGGCAAGCTTATTTGCTCGTTTTTAAAACCTGTCCATTCAAACGTATATTGCTGCGTGAAGAAACATGGATAGAAATTAACATATAATTTATAGCCCAAATCAGGATATTTCTGAGTGTGAAAGAGGGGGCCACCGATAATTTTCCTGGGGCAATGGTATAAACTGGGGTTGTCCCAGGCAAACTGGTCTGTATGGTTTTCCTATGAATAAGTCAGATTCATTTTAGTGCTCTAGTAGGTTTTTAGCAAGAATGAAATAAACGATCATCAGGAAAAAAAGAGGTCCTTAAAAGCAGCCCACTCAAACTACTTCAAGATTCTATTCTGGCATGTAAATTGTGGTTAATTTACAGGTCTAAATGATACTCACTCAGTTGATGATACACAGGTTTATGCAATCCTTGAAGTTTAATTGATGCCACAGCAGCAAGTTTGCCAGGAGGCTGCATTTTCCCATCTAAGAGATACCAAACTCGAGCAAAAGTGGCCCATTGCTTGAAAAACAGAAGTGGAAACAAATAAAATTCTAATTAAAATAGAAATAATTATTATATATCATCAAAGAACAATACGATAATTTTTCCTCCCTGCTTTTTTATTAGTAATATGCATCATGCTTTAACACATTTCGTACCGCTCAGGAGTTTTCTTGTGTTTCGCGCGCCATCTGTTAAGGACCGCTCACGAGTGTTCTCATTTTTCACGCCCATGGAAAAAGGAGCGAATCTAGATACTTATGTAAATTTTGTTTGGTCCCTCTTCATAGAGGAAAATGTTTTACGCAGTACCATACGTTAAAATGTACTAGGAACTTTAATTGTTTGTTTTTGTAAATAAAAATGTTATAATTATTGAAAAACAACACCTAAAGTGCATTATGATGATTTAAATAACGTGCAGTTTGCCCAAAAACGTGTGGTCCCTGGCGTATGTCTTAGAGATTTCTATGCGGTACGCAATGTGTTAAAAATATTCCAAATATTTATTTCCCTTTACATTATGACTTATATTTTTTTATCTGGCATAGCAGAAAACCTGGAAGGGTAATAAAATGCCTGTATGAAGTAGAAGATGTGTGGTGAATTAGGAACTGAAGACTATTCAGGAGTTTAATTCAAAGAGAAAATTAAATAGCAGAATGTGGCTGGAAAAGTATAGATGAATGATGCTGAATAAACGTAAATTAAAAAAAAAAAACAACTGCCTTAGACATATTTAGGCTGCCTTAGGCATAGATCACCATCTTTTCAGCACCTTCAAACTCGAGGACACCTACAGCCCAGAAAGATCTCGACCAGATGCTTCCTCTATGCACATACACAAGCAGCTACACGATGCTGGAAAAAATACAACTAGGCTACTGGTTTCATTTTCAACTTAATAATCACAACCTCAAATCAGCCTATAAAACTGCTACCAATTCTGTTTTTCTCCTGTTCTCATTTTTCTAGTCTCTATTTAATTCCCCTTGCATATGCTTTGTCTGATTTATTCCTGTTTTATATATTTTGATGCCACTGTAAATGCTATTGTATTTTAATTGAAACTTCTGATTGTTTGTTGCTACTATATAGAAATACACTTCACTATTATATATTGGTCTTGTATCCTGCAAACTTGCTAAAGATATTCATCAGTTCTAGTAGCTTTTTGTAGATTCTGATTTTTTTTACATAGATGATCATACCTTTTGTAAATAAAGACAGCTTCTAGCCCATATCCTTTCCCTACCATTCTCAGCTTATGAGCTAATAAAACAATACAAACAGCAGGAATTCTACAGCACAATCTTGTTTCTTCAACAAATTGCAAGGAAAAGGGACCTATTTATTAAGAGAGACTTACCAAAACAACAACTTATTGCATTTTTGGATCCTAATCCACAGGGACAAACTGTAAAAATATTATGTATTTGTATAATACAAGATATAGGATAAAACTGGAAAATTAAGCATACTGGATATTTGATATTAGTTAATTTTTCATTTAGCTTTGATAAATGATACTGTGATTTTCTTAAATCCTTGTCTTGTAGAGAACACATTGAAATATTTACTAATGAAATATTGAGTCACTTCTTTACCTCAAATTCAATAAGAAGGGAAGGAAGTCAATGGGGGTACAGATGAAATTACATTGGCTATGAATTTTCTGATAGTGGGTGACATCTATTTTTATAGATGATTGCAATTCTCCATAGTAATTTTTTTTTTAAAGCAACCCCTGACCTCACTTCTCCAACAGCAACTGCCTCATTTCTTTCCTTTCCTTTTTCTTTATTAAGTCTGTCTCTCCACATTCTCTTTTCAACCTACTCCAATCTGGCTTTTGTTCTCCCACACCTATCACTACCTCTCTACTGCCTGCCAAAGTTACCATGACCTGCATGCTCCTAAATCCATAGGTCAATTCTCAGTCCTCCATACAGTTGATCATTTCCCTCTCCTGAGTATTCTTTCTTCACTTGGCTTCCAGGAAACTACCCGGTGGTGTTTTCCCCCCCACTTTGCTGGTTGTCCCGTTATCCCTTGCCTCTGAAATGTTGAAATGTCCCAGAACTTGGCGATAGGCCCTCCTCTCTTCTCTATACTCACTCCCTCAAAGACTACATCCAGACCTATACCTTTAAATGCCACGTGAATGCTGATGACTCCCAAATTCACATTTCTAGCCTGGACCTCTTCCCTGAACTCTACACTTGGATCCAGCTGCCCTCTTAACATTTGCACTTCAGTGCTGCTTAAACCACACGTAGCAAAAGACTAGTTAATCCCCCAATCCAATGTAGACCAATACAGAAAGAAAAAAAACTTTGATAAAAAATTAAAATGCTGCCACAATGCCAAACTAATATCCAAGTTTTAAAATGTTTGATTTTAATTCTTGTATTTACCTCATCGGGGACAGGTAACAGTGACCTGTCCCAGGAAGGAATCACACTTGGAGCAGAATTGGGCTCAGAGGCAACTTAAACTGAAACACAAAACGAACTGCTCTTCCAACTGAGCCCTGCTCCAGTCTTAGCCTTCCCCACCTCAACTGATGGCACACCCTCCTGGCAGCTGACACAAAAACCTTGGAGTAACCCTTGCTTCTTCTTTTGCTATCCTCCCACCTGCAGTCCTTCAGGAAATCCTATAGGCGCCACCATCAAATAGAACCTGGCCATTTTTCAACACCACACGGTTACTAGTACCTTGGTTTGTGCCACCATCGTGGCCAGCCTGGATCACAGCAACCACCTCCAAAGGGATTCTTGGCCTCTAAACAGTCTATTTTCAACCCAGCACGCCAGAGTGCTCCCTTTAACACATGCGATCATGTTACGCCTTGGCTCGAAAACCTCCCATAGGTTCTCATTGTACTCAGTAAAAAACAACAACAACAAATTTTGACAATTATCTACAGTGCCCTACCTACGTGATCCATCTTATTACCTCTCTGACCTTCTCTCCTAAAACTCTTGTCGGGAACAAAAGACATGGAAAGGGCTGCTTGAAAAGAGGGCGGAACGAATACAAAGAGAACACGAGCAAGTAGGGGCCAGGGCCACGACCTTCTCATCTGTGCTTCCCAGAGGTACCCCCTGGTCCAAAGACTCGGCTTCCTGCCCATTCAGCTTCACTAGGCCAGCTGCAGCCACTGACTCCTCCTGCCAGTGTAATGAATCCCATCAAGCCACAGAGTCCGAGCTCACCTGGGGGGCCCTAGAGAAACTCGACATGCTACCCGACTCGCAGGGCCGTCCTCCGGTCTCCGGCGTCCGGGGCGGTCCGCGGCATCACAGGCCCGGCGGGAAACGCACCCAGCCAAGCAGGACAGTTCCTGGGCCGGCCAGCACTCGGCCGCTCCTCCGCTTTTCCCGGGTCCCCTCCGACCTTCCCACGCCCGCTATTTCGTTATGAAGGAGGAAATCATGCGGCTTTCTCGAGAATAACTCCCGAAATTCACTCCTTGCTGGAAAAGCTGCGGAAAACCAACGGCGAGCACACAATTTCCAGCCGACCTCAATAGAAGGGAACCGGAAGTGCGTCACGGAGCGCGGCTGTTTTGATGTGGGATCGGGGCACTGAGACCCGGGCGCAGCTGGGGAGCGATGGATCGGTACCTGCTCCTGGTCATCTGGGGGCAAGGAAAAGTGCCCTCGGCGGTGGGTGGGCAGCCGGAGCGCCCGCCAGGGTCGTCGTCCTCGGAGGCAGCCGAGAAGCAGCCCGGTGAGTGCTGGGCTGAGAAAGCGCGGGAACGGCTGTCGGGGGAGGAGAAGGGATGGGAGTTTGCTACCAAGTTCTGCTGGGGAGGAAACTATCGAGTTGTCCCAGAGAGCTGGGACCCTATCGCGGATCGAACTGATGAGGGCTGACATGATTCATTATCTTCCTGGAAAAACAGGGCCACCTTGGTGGATGCAAGATTTTGGCGCCCAGAAGTTCTTGGCAACAGTACAAATTTCATTGAATACATCCTCTGTGCTTTAGTAATGGAATTTCTGCTTTTTGGAAATATTTGCATTCCATAGGTATATCTGTCTCTTGTGTTGCAAAGGCAGGCAGTACAGAAAAGAACACGATGGAAAAGACCCTTAGTCTCTTAGAGTTTACATCCTAATGGGAGGAGACATCCAACACATAAGTAAAAACAAGAAACACAAACAAAACAATCATAACTTTAAAACATTTTGAACTGTTGGAGAAGGCACTGCTTTTTGGTGCTCCTGTCTAGACCCGGTATTGCACTTTTTATTTGTTTGTTTTGACCAAGCAGGCATTTTGAGGAGGAAGTGTATGTGGTTGTGTATAGGGTGCTGTGACAGGGTTTCCTTTTCAGCATAATTTTTCTTTGGGGGGAATTTTGGATATGTCACCTGGCTAGCATGCACAAACCGGGAGCGTTTCCTATTTTCTCCACTTGCTTTAGATATAACAAGACTTGAGCAGAGCATATTTCTTTTATGTTCAACATGTTGTTCTTGAGAGTCTCTTATGGTGAAATTAGAATAGACCTAGAGATTATGTAACTCTTGAGCCCATTGAGTTAGTCTGTCATTTCCTTTTCAGACTGGACAGCAGCAAATGTTTATCACCTTCTGAAAAGAAGCATTTGTGCTTCAATTAATCCAGAAGATAGTACGTTCCCTGGTAAGTACAGCATGAATCCCTCTTTTCTCCAGCACAGCACTTATTGGTACTGGAAATAAACTTTTCTTTTTTGTTTGTTTTTATTTTTTAATCACAGTAGCTATTTTTAGAATCCATTTACTAGCACATTAGACTTGACTTGAATATCACAGCAGCTTTATCACTTTTTTTTTTGCTGTGCTTTTTTCTTTTGTCAATTCCCTCTTCCTAGTATCTATTTTGTAAAATATCTAGTGGATTTATCATAGGAAGACAGAAGGCGACACAATTACATCTTTTGCCATCTCTGTGCAAACAATATAGTTGGTAATAGGCACTTAGCATCTTCCCTAGCGTCCATGAATTAAGCCTCGATTGCTACATTTCTGCTTCTCTCTCCATTGAATCTAATTTGTATGCATAGCTCTACATTCATGCTTTTCTAACACTCACCCTGGGGAGAGCCTTAATTTCATATCCACTGTTAATATTCCAGCTCCAAGGAGAGCATCCTCCTTGTCTTAGGTTATAGTTACTCTTTAACTGCTCCCTTTCTAGCCAGACCTTCTTGGTCTTTGAAGAGAGCATTTAGTTTTCACTAAAATGACTTGCACAGTTTTGTGTGAATTAATAGGAATACAGTGGGGGTTTTTTCAACATCTTTATGGTAGATTTTATTGTTTCAAATGATGATTAATAATAAAGATTTTAGCCCTGGCCGGTTTGGCTCAGTGGATAGCAGGTCGGCCTGTGGACTGAGGGTCCTGGGTTTGATTCCAGTCAAGGGCGGATGCCCGGGTTGCGGGCTCAATCCCCAGTAGGGGGCGTGCAGGAGGCAGTCAACCGGTGATTCTCTCTCACCATTGATGTTTCTATCTCTCTCTCCCTCTCCCTTCCTCTCTGAAATCAAGAATATATATATATGTATATATATATATAAAGTATCCATGGTGAGTGAATATGTGTGTGTGTGTATAATGCACATATTATATATATATATATATATATATATATATATATATAATATATAATATTACATATATAACTTGGACTACCTATATGTATCAAAATTATATAATTCTCTAAGTATATATACTATAACATCTGCTTAATTGTGGTATGTCTTTCTTCTAATAAGTGTGATTTTTTTTCAAGCCTGTTCAGTGGGCGGTGTACTTGGCTCCAAGAAGTGGTTCTTTGCAGTGCAAGCCATATGTGGATTTTATCAGGTAATATAAATTTAGAAATATAGTCATTATTGAATGTCTTTATTAATATAAATAATTTCACAGACTCATCATTTAATGCCATATTTTGATATATTAGTTTTGTAGTTCTGACTGGGAAGAGATACATTTTGGTACAGAAAAAGATGAAATTGAAGATCTTCTACAAACAAATATCGAAGAATGTCTGAGTGCTGTTGAGTGTTTTGAGGAAGAAGATAATAATAGCAGGGAGTCCTTATCCTTGGCTGAGTATGCTTATATGCTTTTTATAATATCTTTAGTTCACATTAGATAGTATTTTAGCTATAGAATGAAGATTAGATATTTTAGCAGCTATAGTAGAGGATTTTAGTTACTTGACACTTACAACTTCTCATTTTGGAAGACATTAGACAATTTGGGTCATTTGAGTAAAATTCTTTAAAATGCAAAAATTGAAGTCAGATAATACTTAGCTTTAGCTTACATAATTGTAGGAACCATAAAAGTGATATTTTATTTAATATGCCTGATAATTATATTTTGTAGTGAATAGAACCTTTAAGGTTAATAACTGGGCATTCAAAAACTATCATTGTTATTTTGCTATTTCAGGCCGAAATATTATTTCTTCAATTTCTATATATCTCCAGTATTTTAAGTACCTTTAAAAATTCATAAAGAGTTTTTGAGGATTAAATAGGTAATTGAGTTCACTTTTAGTGTTTTTTTTTAAATTGTACAATATATAAGCTGATTCAGGTGATACAAGTGGTGATAATTTTTTTTCATGAAATATTCTGTTTTGACTCATAACCAGTGCCTTTTATTTTAATCTCCCATATTGCATTACGAAAAACCACTTTTATTTACGTTAGTAGTCAATTTATATTTCAATAAATTGTTACAGACTTTTAAAAAGTTTCAGTTTTCTATTTTTAGGTCACATTTGTTTGTACTGATTGGGAAGGGAGACATTATAGAATTGTGGAAAGAACCTTGAACCTTGACACATATAACTAGTGTGTAGTTACATGATTTTGGGCCACTTAACTTCTATGGTCCTTTGTTTTCTTATTTGTAAAGCGTTGAGATCCTTTCAAAGGATTCTAAGGTATTTTCCAGCCTCAGATCACTTATAATTCCTTATGTTTTCCACCACTACTACAAGATGATAGACAAGTCTAAAAGCAAATATTTCTAGTAAATGACCTACTAATTATTTCCACAAGAGGGAGCTTGAGTACTATACTTTATCATAGATGCCTTATGTTTTTTAGACAGTGGTGGGTTTATAATAAAGGATTTAAATACCTTTATGATTTATAATAAACTATTTTGTGAAAAAATTCATCATATGGATCAAACTAAAAGATTTTGAAGAATTTGAGTAGAGCTTTATATTTCCCAGTCAGGGCTGTTATATGCAATTCAGAGCAAAGCAGTATCCTTTATTAAACACTTAGCAAATACCTTACTTTTAGGATTCAAAATAATGCTTGGTCTATTAGTTATGATTTTTATTTAATAAATATGTTTAATTTAGGGAGCTTATCTTTGTTATTGTTTGTTTTTGGGTATGACTGAGAAATTGAACTCAGGATTTGCATCCTGTCTTCCACACCTACTAATTATGTAACTTTAGGGAAATTCTTTCAATTAAGGACCACAATAGTATTATAGTAGTACATCATGGAATTATCATGAGGCTCAAATGAGATAGTGCATCTAACATACTTAACAGTTTCTAGCATGTGGATGCATTAGTATTTATGATGAGATATAATGTGTATGTGTTTTTGTTTTTTCTAACTTACCCTTTTATTTTAGTCTGTATGAAGAATCTGCAGAAAACTTGCATCAGTTATCAGACAAACTTCCTGCTCCTGGTAATGTTTTATGACTGCTTTCAATAATTTGTATCGTATCTTATACTTTCTGTGAGTGATAAATTCAGTCTTTATCCTTGGGTTGTCACTTTTAACTTTGAAATTCAAAATGAAAAATAATTTCTTAATTGAAGTTGATACAAAACATAGTTTACTACTTTAATAAAATACATTCTGGAGACATTAGAGTTCTCTTATTTGTTTTTATTTAGTGAGACAAAAATTAGAACTTAGGAAATGAAATACCCGTCTGTTTCCTAATTTATTTTTTACTGAAGAAGAATCTTTCCACTACATACCAATGTTTTACAGAGTATGTTCTATAGAACATTAGTCCCGTACACAACTCCTGGAGAAAGAAGTTCTTTCACCTAGATCAGTGGTCGGCAAACTCATTAGTCAACAGAGCCAAATATCAACAGTACAATGATTGAAATTTCTTTTGAGAGCCAAATTTTTTAAACTTAAACTATATAGGTGGGTACATTGTTATTAACTTAATTCGGGTACTCCTAAGGCTTAGGAAGAGCCACACTCAAGGGGCCAAAGAGCCGCATGTGGCTCGCGAGCCGCAGTTTGCCGACCACTGACCTAGATAATTTAATAACATTCTTTTA